AATCCTGTTAGTGTTACTTTGGGCCTGAGTTTGCTCTTTCCACCAGATTTAATAAGATAGAGTTTCCTATTTCAGTGGCTCCATGTGTTAATTTGGGGGGGGAGTTTCCATAAAATTTTCAAGGATCGTGCCATTTAGATGGGAGCAGTGATGCCAATCACTGTTCCAAACCCCTGCTCTACCGCCATTCCTCTGCTCTAGCCATCCGTCTGCACTTTGAGCCTGCCCAGGGTCACCCCTCCCCCCCCATCCCCCAGGGGCCTTGGAGGGCTCCCCCTCTTCTCCCTTAGCGATTGGACTCTCCCGCCCCAACAGTGTCCGCTTTTCTCAGCTGCCTCCAAGCCACCTGGCTGCTCCCTGAACTCCAGCCACACAGCCCTCTGCCCTCTGTGGGCATCCCCTCTGCCTGGAACGCTGCCCCTTTCCTTCCCTCCAGCTCATGGTTCCTCATTCTCTTTGCTCCACTCATTCTGCATCCTACAGTTCTCTGTCCAGTGTCCAGCGTCCACGCTGGCCTGGGCTGGATGGGGAGCTGGCTCTGCTTCCAGCCCGGCACCTCCCACACAGCCAGCATACAGGGTAGTTGGCATGCACTTGGTGAGCGAGTAGATGGACGGGTGAGTGCATGGGTAACCTGCCAGGTTTTCATTGTGCAGTGGTAAGAGACTCAAGCCCCACGGGCAAGGGTCAGACCACATTTCCACTAGGGGGTTGGCCCCAGAGGCCAAGCTGGCCTCACAGAGCTGAGCCCACGACTCCAGCCCAAACTTCCACACTGGATGGAGACGGGGACCCTGATCCTGCACTCAGAACCAGCCTGGCTGCAGGCTGAGCCCTGATCTGAGCCACCCCAGGCTCCTTCAGCGGAGTTGAGGGAGAACTCAAGGTGGGGAATTCAAGGCTCAGCTTCCCCTAAGTTCCGCGGTGGAACCCCCGCCACATGAGGTGTGGTGTGCAAGGGCCTCCATTTCAAACATGGTAGCCATGCCCACTCCAAAGGGCCAGGACTGGTAGGGGAGGCTCATAGGAAGAAAAAAAACCCACACCTAGGAGTTTTAGGAAGGTCTTCTTACACTCTTTCAGTTCAAGAGTCCCTCTGCCTGTCTGACTAGCCTCTGGGAAGGGGGAAAAGGGAGTAGGGCTAGCCAGGGTAGGCAGGACCCAGAGACCAGGAGGCCACTGGACTTTGTCCCCCCAGAGCAGACATCTGAGAAGTTCAATCTACCTACCTGCATGGAGGGGTGGAGGCCAGGCTGAGGAGGGAGCCAGTCCTGGAGCTCCCTCTAGTGGCTATAGGGAGACCCGCACCCAGTTCTTTGTCCTGAGTGGACTGGATTTCTCTTAATTACCTTCTGTTACCCAGGTTCTAGGCTTCCATTAGGGACTTACAAAACTGGGATTTGGGTATGTTCCAGCCTTCTCTTTTTCAGTCCCCACAGATGCCAAATTCTGCTAGTCTTACTACTCAGATACACACCCCATGCTCACCCAAATTCTCTTAATCATTTGTTTCTCTAGTCTTGCAAAGTCTTCCACATTCTTCCCAGAGTGAACTCAGCCAAGTGCAGACAGGACTGAGTCATCAGCTTGCTTTAATCTCTGCTAAGGCCCGAGGATACAACCCAAACCGCCTGGCAAGCTTGACCTCAGGCTAGTCATACTCATAATCATAGTCATAAGATGCCCTCAGGCAACACTGGCCCTTCCAAGGTCTCTGCACCCTGTGCCCTTGCAGGACTCCAGCAACTTCACCCAGAAAACGATTCACATTCCAAGGTCCACTGAGAAACTGCCCTCTGGCAGTGACTTAATCAGCCCTTAGCCTTGGTCCTAGGGTAACTGGAATAGAACCCTGGCATCCCTCCTACCCCCGTACTGTTAGGAGAATCTGGGGTATAGTTAGTAATCTTAATGACTGGAAGCACCCCTGGAAGGTTAGCATCCCCAACAGGCCCTGATACAGGATGCTGAGCAATGTGCATGACTATGCACATCTCAGAGAATTGTCACCAAGTGCCATTTGACTTCAACTTTGGGATTTCCTATGAGAACAAGTAGAGGGAAAATGTCTGCCTGAGGCTGAATTTTGTATCAATAGACTGTGTGTGTGTGTGTGCGCGCGCGTGCACGCATGCCTGCTGGAGCTCGAACTCAGGTTTTTCCACTCAAGGCTGGTGTGGCTGGTGTTCTTCCACTTGAACCATACCTTTACTTCCAGCCTTTTACTGATTAATTGAAGGTAAGAGTCTCACAGGCTTTCCTTCCCTGGGCTGGTTTTGAACCAAGTTCCTCAGATCTCAGCCTCTTGAGTAGCTAAGATTACAAGCCTGAGCCACTGGCACCCGGCAGTAGACAGCATGTTCATGTGATTGATAATACAAGGCAGTAGCTGTAAGGAAACGTTCCTCCTTACCTTGTTCATAACCATTGAGTTGTCAGTCAAGGTTTTGCAAACACCGGTTGTCAGTGAACTTGTGGTATTTAAGTGGCCAAGGGGACATCCCATGTCACTCTTCCTTGGTGGTTGCCACGCTCCGGGATTCTGTGGACATAAGCTTCTCATTATTTTGTTATTCCCTTCAATGTCACCATTAAGAGTGCTTGCAATTTGAAATACCACCTTAAGTTACTTTCCTTATTTATTAATTTAACCATCACTCATTTAGCTCCAAGTATATGGGTTTTGAATAATTACTCATTCAATCCTCACGGTAAGGTGGGAGGGGTCTTTTTTTTTTTTTTAACTTGGGAGCTGACAGACTCTCAGAGAGATTCGTGATTTGAACCAAGTCACATAGCCGGAAAGTGGAGGGCTCGGGATTTGAACTGGAATCTGGCCCTTCACCATTGGCCTAGGATAGCCCTCTGCTAGCTCTGGCGTTGGGGTGATTTCTTTGGGCACCTGTGCATGGTTTATTTTGTCTCACTTTATACAAAATGTTTTTCATTAAGGTGGGGCTGAGGTGAGGTGGAAGCCCTGGCCCAGCTCCCGAGACTCTGCTGGGAGGGGGGGGGGGCTGGGCACGGAAGCCGGGCAGGAGCAGGGTGTGAGAAAAGCAGCCTTATAAGCGGCTTAGGCCTGGATCCACCCCAGCACTCTGCTGGGAGGAGATGAGAGGGTCTGGGAGAGACCCGGGGACGCGGTCCCAGACCTGGCCACGCAGGGCCCTGGCTGCTAACCCAATCGCACTGGCCCCCCAGCGCGGGGAGAGGGGGCTGGACCCCTCCTCCCAATCGCATCCTGCCGGGGAGGGGGCTCCCAGTGGCCACAGGGGCCAGGGCAGACCCCGATCTGGGGAAGGCGGAGCCGGTGACAGAACTAGCAAGGCCGTGAGGGGGGAGACAAGTGGTCTTCCGGGGACGTCCACCGGTGGGTCACCATCCTCTGTAGGCCCCGGAAGCCCGGCCCCACCCCCCCCATCTCCCATGTGCCCCCGCCACCAGGTCTCCCTGCTTGCCACCCCCGGGTGGGAGCCGGAGGATGAGCCCAGATCCGGCCGGCCGCGGATGGCAAGGGCTGGAGTGGGGGAGGGGGTTTCTCTCTTGTGCCTCAGTTTCCACATCTGTTTGATGGGGTCAATAATGCCCTAGTGTTGCCGCTAAGAGGGTAACGGAAGCTATGTTGGGTCCCCTTTCTACCCCTGTCTATCTCCTCCAGCTGGGAGAATGGGGACCGTCTTAGAGAGCTGGTCGGCTCTTCTGCCTTCTGCAGCTCCGGAGACCCGCGCGCGCCTAACCCCGGGCGGCCAGCTGTCCGGGGCTCCCCAGCCTGTCTCCCGCGGACCTCGCAGGACGCTTCCAAGTATGACCACAAGGGGGCGCGTGGCGGCTGTGGGACCGAGAGGGGGCGGGGCTTCTACCTGATAGAGGGGCGGGGCCCAATCCGGGGGCGGGGTTTGGATTCTCTCGCGGGGGGAGGGAGGAAACGGGGTTTGGGGTGGAGGGTGGGGTTTAGACCCGAACGCAAGAGCTGGGTTTCTACTAGGGGGCGTGGCCTTCGTCTGGGGGCGTGCCTCTGCGAGGGCGGGGCCTGGCCGGCCCGCTGGCGGTAACGTGCTCGGCGCCGGTGGGAAGTTTGCCGAGGTCCCTCCGGGCTGTGGGAGCCCGCGCCTGGCTTCTGCTTTTTGGTGCCGGCGGGGGAGGGGGTGCGGTGGATGGGGAGATCCACCAGATCTCTTCGGAATCTGAGCAGCAGCATAAACCTCAGCTGCCTCGGTTTCTGAAGGCCTCAGGAGGCGGAGCTATTAACCCGTTCTCCAGGTGAGGAAACTGAGGCCGGCAGCAGGAAGGACGGCCTTGAGGTCATTCAGCTGGGCCCAGGCCTGGGTGTGCCCGGCGGACGGGCGGGGTTCTGGGGGTGGTGAGGGGTGGATGGCGGAGGCGGGCACCGGAAACCAAGGACTAAGTCCCCACCCTGGAAAGATAAGACTCGACGGGGGGGGGGGAAGAATGGACAGGGTCCCCGCGGGACCCCCGAGGACCCGGGCTGCCGGCTTCCTTGGGGTCGGAGGTTCGTCGTGACCCGGTCTCCGAAGGTTCGGCGCCTCCCCCCTCCCGTCCGCACCCGGCGGAGCCCGGCCCGCGTGCCCGAGTTGGTGGCGGGTCGCCTGCAGGGAAGTCGGGTCCCCCAGACCAGCTCTGTGTTGCCGAGTCAGTGAGCGGGACCTGCACTTTGGGGGCGCCCCCCTCTGCACCCACACAACGCTCACTCCCCCTTCCTCACCCAGAGACCGCGAGGGCTGCGCCGCCGGGAGCCGGCGCTGGGGTGGGAGGCTCTGGCCTCACCTGGTGAGCAGAGAGCCCAGGCCGCTCCCCGGGCTCGGATGGGGGGGGGTCGGGGGCGGGGCCTGGCCCGCCCCGCGCGTCCTCCTGGAGGGCGCGGGAGGCGGGGCGGGGGCGGGGCCGGCCTCTGTCCACCGCATTAGTGCTGGTTGGAGGGCCGCGGGGGGCGCGCAGCCAGCCAGGCCGCCCCGTTCCCACAGGCGGCTGAGCGGGGAGCTATGGCGCTGGCCCGGCCTGTGACCCCGCACTCCAGGCCCCTGGGCCCCTGGCTGCTGCTGCTGCTGCTGTGGCCCTGGGCCCCAGCCCTGGGCCTCCTGGCTGGTAAGTGTGTGTGTGGGGGCAAGCACTTGGGGAGGGGTCTGTGCCCCATGGCCGACAGGGCAGGTTCTGGCTGCTGGGGCCCAGGGCCTCTGGCCCGCGTGGGGCCCCGAGGGGGTGAGTGTGCTCTGGGACTCGGGAAGTTTCATGTCGAGGGGCCTCTGCAGGTGGAGGGCAGGGGGAATCAGGGCTGCGGTGGGTGGAGTGGGTCTGAGGGTGGGGTGCTATGAATTCTGGTGGGGTGTCTCATCCGATGGAGCTGTGGAGGCCTGGGGTGTGAGGGGCTGAGCTTGGGGAGTTGCAGGGGAGAGCGAATCTTCATCTAGAGGGCTGGGGGTGCACGTGAGGTGGTGAAGTGGGTAGAGTTTTCGCCTGAGCAGGGAGTTGTGTCTGGGGTGACGGGTGAGCTGTCTTAGCGCCACAGTTGCTGAGCTGAACTTGCGCAGTGGGCTGAACTGACTGGGACTTGGCAATCTTGGGGGCCTGGTGGAGGCAGCAGACCCGACTTCAGCGGGTTGAGGTGGAGAAGCGAAGAGGTGCAGGGGAACTGAGTATTCCCCTCTGCTGTCGGTCCCCCTGCCTGAGCTTAGGCTGGGGCTGCTCTTACCCGGGAACAGTGTATGTCCCTGCTCCCCACCAGGCCTCCGCCTTCCCAGATGGAGCTGGAAGGGCTCCTGAGGCTAGACCCCCTTGCCAGAGGCTTTGCTTTTGTCCACGTGGAGTCTTGCACGATCCTGGAATTCCTGCTGGGGGTCTAGAGGGATGCTTTGTCTTGGTCACTATAGCTACAGGGCCAGGCCATCCTGGCCAACACAGGCTGCAGGAAGGGGCTGAGGAAGGCCTTGCCTCGGCTCCCTAAAGGCAGGCCATCTCTCAGTTCCTGGTCCCCGCACTCTCCCTGGGGTTATCTTCTCCTAGAGCTTGGACTCACAAAGTCTCTCCTTTCCTGTCTGGGACACCAGGGAGAGAATGCCCCCTTTTGTAAGGAAGGAGAGCGAGGCGGGGAGGGACGGCGTATGTAGGAGCTAGGTCCCTGAGGTGACCAGGGCTTGTAAGAGGAGCTGGGGTCTGCTCCCAGATCTCAACACCAAGTCCTGATCTGTGGACCTGGAGTTGGTCTGAACGCACACAGACAAACAGGTGCTTCTGCACACCTCTATCCATCTACATGGCAAACACTAGTAGGTCATGTGTGTTGATCCATTGTGTGTACATGCACACACTCATCCCTATAGGTACAGGGCAGGTGCCTGCACACACCAATGTGTACACACCAGTGTGCATGTGTTGCAGTGTTTACATTCAGCATGTGGATCTTGAGGCTGGGCAGATAGAAAACTGATGGAAAGGAATGCTGAGGAGTACCATTACCTCACAGCCCCACTGGGGCCCCCACTGGCTGCCTTGCCCCCTCTGACTTCTGTTCATGGAGTCCCATCCCTGGAGAACCCTGAAGACTAGAGTTGGGGCACTGCAGGTAGGATCATCACCCAGCGCCTGGCAGAGAGGCACTTGAACTGTTTTCCATCTGAGAGGAGGTGGAGGATTCTGGAGGCCCTGAGCTGGGCCTCTCGGCAGGCTGGTTACCATAGGGAGGAAGAAAGCATCCTCTAGTACAATGGGACACGTTGGGATCTCACCCACCCCCCTTCCCCGAGCACCCTGGGAGTCCAGCACACAAAGGGGCAGCCAGCCCAGTCTCCAAATCTGGCCCCTCCTCCAGAGAGGGGTGGAGGCGAGAAGCCACACACAGCCAGCCCAACCCAGGACCATGCAGATAGCTGTGCTGGCTGTTGTAAAGGTCTGCTGATAAGTGAGTCACACCGGCCACCCCGCTGCCATGACACTGCCCTAGGGGGTCACAGGATTTGATCCCAGCTACAGAGGAGGTAAAGGAGGCCCTGAGAGGGTCAGTAAATTGCCCAGAGTCACACAGCTTTTGTGTGGTCAGGCCAGGATTTCTCTGTAGACGGTGGCACTCACTTGCATAAAGCCATATCTCCCTGTGGTGTCTCTGAGAAATGGGGAGCACTTCACTGTGAGACTTTCCTGCACTAATGCAGTAGTGCTCCAATGTAGGTTTTATTTATTTTTGTTTATGCTGGTACTAGGACTTGAACTCAGGGCCTAGGCACTGTCCCTTTTTTGTTCAAGGCTGGTGCTCTACCATTTGAGCCACAACTCCACTTTCAGCTTTTTGGTGGTAAACTAAATAAGCATCTCAGGAACTTTCCTGCCCAGGCTGGTTACAAATCGCAATAGTCAGATCTCAGTTTCCTGAGTAGGATTACAGCCATGAACCACCCATGCCTAGCCACCAAGGGCATTACCAGGGAACCAGTGGCCACAAACAGGTGGCAACTGTTCTGCTGGGTCTCCCTCACTCGAGAGGTACGCCTGGCTCCGGCTCTGAGATCATGGTTTAGAAACACTGGGACAGGCCAGTGTTCCATCTGTTCCAGCTAGTATTGCCATTAGTAATCCAATTATGTCTTTTGTTCAGCTTTAGGCAATACTGGGGTTTGAACTCCTGGTCTTGTGCTTGCTTTTTAATAGACTACCACGTGAGCCATGCCTCTAGTCTGTTTTGCTTTTTAATTTTTTTTCTTGTTTATTGCACAGCCAGCCTGGACCACATTCTCCTATTTCTGCTTCCAGCATTGGTAGGATGACAGGTGTACCACCATGACTAGCTTCTATTGGTTAAGATTGGGACTTTGTTCACTTTTTGTTCAGACTGGCTTCAAACCAGGATCTTCCTTGCTTAGTAGCTAGGATTATAGATGTGAGCCACTGCCTTGGGTCTTGGCCTCTTCCTCCTCTTCTTCTTCCTCCATCATCAAGATAAGAGTCCTGCTCTGTAGCTCAAGCTGGCCTTGAACTCACAATCTTCATGCCTCATCCTCCCAACTGTGGGATTTGAAATTATGCCTTTAAGCTCTGTACCAGAAGTGCCCAGACCTTATGAGATATTAGATCACTACTTGGAAATATTTTCTCCCTTGGCCTACCCAAGACAGGAAGCTTCCCCAAGTCCACCCTTAGTAAAATACTTCTTATCCACTGTTGCAGTGGGAATGGACCTGTAATAAGTGCCTGTGGTTCATGGGATGCTGAGGTCCCCGCTCTGCCTGGGCTCTCCTCTCCTCCCTGTACTGTGGCATGAACCCAGGGTCTTGAGCATGGCTAGGCAAGTGCTCTACCACTGAGCCTCGGCCCTAGCCCCAGCCCCTGCTAGAGACTCTTCTGGTTTAAGGAGGCTGAGGCTTCCAGAATGTGCTGACGATCCCTGGATAGTGGTTTCACAAGCATTGGCAGATTTGAAAGTTTCTCTGCCTCTTTGTTAGAAAAGTGTAAGTTTTCTTTCTTTCTTTCTTTTTTGGTCCAGTCGTGGGGCCTGAATTCTGGGCTTGGACGCTGTCCCTCAGCTCTTCAGCTCAAGGCTAGCGCTCTAACCACTTGAGCCACAGTGCCACTTCTGGCTTTTTTTTCTTTTTGCTTATGTGGTGCTGAGGAATCGAACCCAGGGCCTCAGGCATGCAAGGCAAGCGCTCTACCACTGAGCCACCTTCCCAGCCCAGTATAAGTTTTCTTAATGACACCCCTTTACTGCTTTGAACCAAACATGGTAAGGTAATAACAAATGCACACCGAGCACTGCGCATACATTTGGTAAATGGACAACTCTGTCCCTCTGGCTGTCCCCAGGCAGGGCGCAGGTCAGAGGGGAAGGCTGGTGTCCGCTAATCCATCCTTTGCCGGGTCAGCCCAGGCAGCCTGAGAGGTCAGGAGGGATTTGTAAAGATAAGCACAGGCCTCTCGTTGCCTTGGTGACAGGCCCCACCCCTCCAGCCAGGCCCTGGGGACAGCCAGTCCCCTGCCTGCCTCTTGGCCCTCCCCTGCCTGGGCTGGTCTCCTGGCTCACCCCTGGAAGGCAGAGGCCACCTGGGGACTGGATTGGGTGCAATTCAGAGTCTGGGGCTAGGGGCCCAGTGGTTTTTAATCTCCAGGAGTGGGCCCCAGGAATCTGCATTCTTGATGGGCCTGGGCTGGGCTGGAAACTGCACCAGTACTGCTCACGTCCCAGTGGGTGGACTGCCTCCCTGGTGCACCTGCCGTGACTCCTCCCTCCCAGCCTGGCACTGGCTGGCTGCACAGGCCCCTTCCTTCAGCTCCCTCTGGGCTTCCTCATTGGGACTAAAAGGCAACTGGGGGGTGGAGGGTGGACTGTAAGAAGCCTTCTTCTGGTCTGGTCTCCTGACCTTCGGGCCACACAGATGAGGGGTAGAGCCCTGTTGGCGAGGAAGCAGCACTGGAGCTCCCCATGGGCTTGGCCTCCTCCTGAGCCCTGGGGGCTGAGGGACGTGACCACTACCACTACAGACCCTCACAGAGGGCTCCGGGGTACATTGGAAGGGCACGGATGGCACCCTGCTACAAACCAAACCTGTCTGATGGCCTAAATTTGATCCATGTCCATCCCACCAGCCCTTCAATGTCCTGACCCCCCCCTCGCCCCCCGCAGGCTGAGCCGGGGGGAAGCTGCCACTACACTCTCAGCAGGGCAGGACCACGAAGGCCAGCTGCCCCTCAGGGACGCCCAGATAGCTCAGGTCCTGGCTCAGGTGACAGGGCGGGGAAGGGGGCTGGGGACTGGCCTGACAGTGTTTTGGGTTCTCAGTACCCACCTGCCGCCCCCCTCCCCATGTGGAACGGGGTGCTCCTGCTGGACTGCACCAGGTGCTGGGGGCGCCCCAGCTTGGACTGAAGGGTGGTCATCTCCCAGGGTCTGCCTGTCCCTGTTTCACTGTCCCCCACTCTCCTCGGGTCTGCTGGGGAGCATGGAGGTCTGGCCAGGCCGGGCCCTGTCTGCTGGAATGTGGATGATGCCTGTGAAGCAGCCAGTCTTATCTTGGGGTTTTCGTGGGGTGGGGGAGGGGAGGGCCCAGGGCCTGCGCTGCTCTGGGACCTGGTTAGTGTCTGTATGACAACCTGGGCAGGGTGGGGGTGGGTTGGTTATTGGAGACTCCCTTCCCCCACAGCACACTAAGACCCCCGCCCCCCCTGCAGTGAGCTGACACTGGAGTGTGGCCCCTGAAGCTTCGCATTCTTCAAAACTCTAGGGGTTCAGGACTCATACCCTCTCTTCAGGCTCTTAGGAGAAATGACTGGCCTAGGGTGTCATAGCTAGCAGTCTTTGGAGACAGGGTTTGAATGCAGGCCTGCTAGTGACAAGGCTCTTGAGCCTTAAGGAGAGAGTACGGGGAAGGCCTGCTCTTTGGCTTGGCTTCCAAACCAGTTGTCACCCTCAAAAAGGGGAGGGGTACCAGCTGGGTGCCGGTGGCTTACAACTATAATCCTAGCTACTCAGGAGGCTGAGATCTGAGGATCATAGTGTGAAACTAGCCCAGGAATAAAAGTCCCGTGAGACTCTTATCTCCAATCAACTACTCAAAAAAGCCGGAAGTCAGGCTGGGAAGGTGGCTCAGTGGTAGAGCGCTTGTCTTGCAGGCATGAGGCCCTGGGTTCAATTCCTCAGCACCACATAAGCAGAAAAAGCCGGAAGTGGCACTGTGGCTCAAGTGGTAGAGCACTAGCCTTGAGCTAAAGGGCTGAGGGACAGTGCCCAGGCCCAGAGTTCAGGCCCCACAACCACCACCACCAACAACAAAAAGCCAGCAGTGGACCTGTGGCTCAAGTGGTAGATAGAGAGCTAGCTTAGAGCACAAGAGGCTCATGGACAGCACCCCAGCCCTGAGTTCAAGCCCCAGGACCCCAAGTGTGGGGTCTTCAGCATGGCCATGGCAGATGTTCTGAAGGCAAGTGGGTCTCAGTATCTGCCCTGTCTTGGGTGAGCTCAGCTAGGCACTTATGAGCTGGTGGGGGTTGAGGCCCAGCAGGCAGGAGGCAGGGCCCAGGGCTGCAGGGGGGCGGGCGGTAAAGACTGGAGGGGCTGAGTCCATTCCTCGCCTTTGATGTCACCACTCCCTTCTCCATTCCCATCTCTGAGGTTGAAGGCAGACATCTCAGGTTTCACACAGAGATGGAGTTACCAGAGCCCCAGCAGGAGAGGTAGGGGGCAGGAGTCACCCCCTCCTTTGCCCTTTTCCTCCGGGGTCCTGGGAGGGCCAAGGCCCACAGAAGGGAAAGCCCCAGGAGTCCTGAAACCATTGGCATTGAGACCCGTGCTGGAGCTAACTGTGGCTCAACCTCAGCAAGGCTTGGCTTTCCTCTTCAGCCTCTGCACTGCCAACCCTGGCTCCCCGGGCTCTGCAGGGTTAGCATGTGTTCCCTCACCCTGTGGGGGAGCCCGGATCCCCAGCTGGCCCCTGGGCCGGCAGACACTCCAGTTCTGGATTAGGTCTCTGCAGTTTGTGGCCATCCTGGCCCTCCTTTCTAGCCCTGCAGTGTTGCCGTCTAGGGTTTGCGGCTGGGCTGGGAGTGCGGGGTGGGGTGTTGTGTGGTCCCTGTGCGCCCTGCCCACTTGAGTTTCTTCTTTCTACAGAGACGGGGCCTTCAGAGACCCCAAGTCCCTGTGCCTCAGACCCATGCGCCCCAGGGACTGAGTGCCAGGCTATGGAGAATGGAAGCTACACCTGTGCACTCACAGAATCCAGGGGCTGTGCCACTCAGCCATGCCACCACGGCGCTCTGTGTGTGCCCCAGGGTCCTGATCCTAGCGACTTTCGCTGCTACTGCGTGCCGGGTTTCCAGGGTCAGCACTGTGAGCTGGACATCGATGAGTGCGCATCCCGGCCCTGCCACCATGGCGCCACCTGCCACAACCTGGCTGATCGCTATGAATGCCACTGCCCCCTCGGCTATACAGGTAAGGGCTCTGGCTGGCTGAGGAGCTCTGACCCTGGACCCCACTAGCCGCTCAGATTACAGGCATCAGCTGGAGTCTACAGATGCCCCAGGCAGTCCACCTGCTCCTGAGCTACAGACTCGATGCTTCTTGGGCACCCAGGGGTGACACTGTGTATGTCTGAGTGCTGGCACATGCCAAGCACTTGGCAAACCTTGTTCCTGTCCCTTCTACAGAGCCGAGTTTGACTCTGGAAGGCAGAGGCCCCCTCAGGCATTCTGGCAGGGTAGACAGCGCACGGCTGCCTGTAATGAGGACACCCAGACAGCATTTCCAGCGTGTTCTCACTGCAGATCCGTGTCAAGCTGTCACGCTGACATCTTGTGCCTTATCTGATGGTCCTAGAGTCAGAAGACCGTGGCTTGGCTCCGGAGGCAATGGGGAGCCCTGTGTGGATGCCTTCTGGTTTTGATGTACACGAGCCCCTCAGGGCCCCCACTGCCTTGAGTGGGTAATGTATTCACAATGCTCAGGAAAGGACCTGGCAGGTTGTGGCTGTGGCCCCGGGGTGGAATGTTTGGCTAGCGTGCTTGGGGCTTATGGGTTCCATCCCCAGTACAACAACAATAACATAAGAAAGAAAAAGAAGGAACAAAAGGAAGAAAAGTGGGGCTGAGCATGGACCACCAGCTAATGTCAGATATTTAGGTAGCAGAGATTGGGCGAACTGTAGTTTAGGGCCAACCTGGCCCAAAAGTTAGTGAAACCCCATCTCAGCAAACAAGACAAATACAGTGGTTCATAACTAATTCCAGCCACTCCAGAAGCATGGGTAAGAGGATCATTGTCTGAGGCCATTTGTTGCCCTGGACAACAAATGCAATATTCTACCTGGGAAAATAACTAAAGATCAAGTGGCAGAAGGAAGGAGAATCCAGCTAGCGACAGGTCTGCGAGTGAGGCTCAGTCTAGGACAGTCTGGGGTCCATGAATTCAGACATCTCTGTGCTGAGGGTAGAGGGAAGTCTGAAGTTCTCAGAAGCAGAGGTGCACACAGGGGTGGAGTTCCAGAGGGAAGATATCTTTCCCCTGGTCTGTCTCTGTCTGCATGTCCTAGTTGGGTACCTGGGTGTCACACAGTGGGGTCACATCAGTCTGTGGGTCTCCTGGTTTGCACACCTATTTTGCATCCATAGTGTTCATGCATCGGCCAGAGTGTGTATGCACCCAGGGCTGCATGTGCACCCCAACAGCCGGTATGTGTGCTCCTGGATGGGAGGTGTTCCAGGTCATTTTCTGGCTGAGTGGTGGTTGTGCACGGCCTGGTGACTCATTTCTCTCCTTCAGTTCAGAGCTATGAGGGGGAGTTGGGATTCCGGACAGCCTGGGCCTGGCTCCGCCTGGCACAGAGGGTGGGAGTGGGGCTTGGAGGGTCATGGGAGGGAGGAGGGGCTGTGTTTTGTGCTCACTGATCTGGAAGAGAGGAAGATTCCAGCTGGAGTCAGCTGGGCCCTGGCCCCCATGACCAAACCCACTTTAGGGGACAGGGAGAGGGGTCCTGAAGTCTGCGTGACCAGGAGCTCCAGCTGAATCTCTAGATTCTGGATCTCTCTGTCCCCACTCCATCCACAGGGGGGGGGGGACAGCATCCAGCAATCCTGATTTGTTCCAGTACATGGGCTGTCCCTGACTGGGGGCTTGGAGTTTTGACATCAATACAGTATGGTTATTCTATTCCAGGAAGGCCCACCTGGAGGGTATGTGGGGGTCCTGCCTCATGCAGCCCTCAGGGCCACCTGAGAAATGTTCTCAAATGTAGCTAGGACCCAGCTGTCACTCTGCTGCTCAGCGTCTTTACTTGGCCCCCAGACCCAGGCCTATACACCACCTCTCCCCTTGTTCCTGCCCCTCCACACAGCCCCCAGCCCCTCGGGGTATCACCCCTCCTCCTCAAGTAGGGGAGGGCTAGATTCAAAGTCTGACATCCAGCCACTCACAGAGGCTGTTATCCCATCCCTAAAACCTCTTCTTCAAGGAAGCCGTCCCCGACTCCCAACTCCCCAGAGAGACCCTGGCTCTTTCTGTCAACACATCCAGTTCTTTTCCTTGTCGAGCTTAGCCCGACTGAAAATGCAATCCTGACTTACAAATCGAGCGAGTCCCTATCTGCTGGCCTGCCATATCCGTCTTCAAGACAAAGCAACATCTGCTCTGGATGAATGATCCTTGCTCCCCCTGCCCCCTCCCTGCCAACGTCGCTCTGGGGGACCCTCCGGTCCCTGGCTTGGTCTCCAGGCCCGCGGTGGGCGCCTATCTCCCCGGGCCTATTGTCTGTGTGCCCGTCCAGGCGTGACCTGCGCGGAGGAGGTGGACGAGTGCGTGTCGGCGCCCTGCCTGCACGGGGGCTCGTGCCTGGACGGCGTCGGCTCCTACCGCTGCGTGTGCGCGCCGGGCTACGCGGGTGCCAGCTGCCAGCTGGACGTCGACGAGTGCCAGAGCCAGCCGTGCGCCCACGGGGGCGTGTGCCACGACCTGGTCAATGGGTGAGCGCCGGCCCGGCGGAGGGGCCGCGGCTGTGCCCACAGGGCCGGGTGACGGTGCTGCGGGCCTGGGCTGGGCACGGGGAGGGGGCGCGGGCGGGCACGCACTCAGCTCCGTGCACGCTCACCCCAGGTTCCGGTGCGACTGCGCTGACACGGGCTACGAGGGCGTGCGCTGCGAGCAGGAGGTACTGGAGTGTGCATCGGCGCCCTGCGCGCACAACGCGACCTGCCTCGACGGCCTCGGGAGCTTCCGCTGCCTCTGCTGGCCTGGTGAGTAGGAGGGCGTGTGCGTGCGCATGTGCGGGCCAGGCACGCGCGTGGACGTGTGCGCGCATGCGCGTGTGTAGACATGGGTGTGCGCATGTGCGGGCCAGGTGCCTGCGTGGACCTGGGTGCGCATGCGCGTGTGTAGACCTGGGTGTGCGCATGCGAGGACCAGGTGCCTGCGTGGACCCAGGTGCACATGCGCGTGTGTAGACATGGGTGTGCGCACGCGTGCAAGTCCCTAGGGCTGGCAGTTGATGTGGGAGTAGCCGCACGCATGCGCAAGAGTGTGCATCCCATTAGCCTGTGTGTGCGATCCTGGACAGGAGGCGCTCTGGGTAATTTTCCACCCCTTTGACTCTGCAGTGGGCCTCAGCCTCGGTTTCCCAATGTTTTAGATAGAATTGTTGTTAACACCCGGCACCCGGGTGGCGGAGAGGAGGGCGGAGGCGCAATGGCGCCGGCCTGGCACATGCCCCGTACTCAGTGGAATGAGCAGTAAATGTGCCGTCCGTAGCTGCCCCAGGGCCCCGCTG